TCTCTCTCTCTCTCTCTCTCTCTCTCTCTCTCTCTCTCTCTCTCTCTCTCTCTCTCTCTCTCTCTCTCTCTCTCTCTCTCTCTCTCTTTTTCCTCGTGCAGCACTCTGGCTTCAGCGCTCTGCTCCTCACATTAGCGCACAAGTGCACCAGCACTTCCACACTTCTTGCGAATGGGCCATCTGCCCGAATGGTAGGCTTGCCAGTCCTTTTGTAGTCTTGGAATGCACTTCAACTCGTGCCAGCCTCTGCTTTCTGGGGCCTGACTGGTTCCGGTACCACATCCCCACGGCCTGTCTGCTTCTGAATATCAAGGCCTGGAACCTTCCCGAATTTCCATAGGTCTGCTGCTGCTTGGGCCTTTGAGTCGTGACTTTTCACTTTGTGATCATGACTTTTGACTGTGGAATGTGACTCCTGTCTCCGGGACACGACTCTTGACTGTGGAACTGCCCTTTTACTCGTGGGATGTGACTCTTTAGTATGACTTTTCATTATGAGACGTGACTCTTGCCCCTAAGATGTGACTGTTTGGTGCCTGTTGTACTGGACTCCTGAGGTACCCGACTGTGACTTTTCTGAATTTGACGAACTCGGCCTCTCTTGACCAGGCCTCTGACCCTGAGACCCGAATTTGGGGTCTGAATCGTGGAAGGCCTTTCATGATGCAGCATTGCAATACAAAAATATTTTGGCTGAGAACCATCTCAACTCAAAATTCGTAGCCAAATGCAAGGGGGAAAAAAAAACAAAAAAAAACAAAAAAAAAACGTTTTTCTCTTTTTTTTAAAGAGGGGGCGGCTGTTCAATCCAGAGCAGTGCAGACGTCCGGAGTGGTACGGTGTATGGATCCGGCGTAACCATGCCCCAAACCAAATCTAACCCCCATTAAACCCTAAACCCTAAACCCAACCCTTCCTTTTTTTTTTTTTTTAACATTACCGTAACTCAAACCCGCCATTTGTTTCATCGCCAACCACCAGACCCAGCCCCCGCCCCTTCCGTGTTTTGTCCCCAAAACACAAATCCACCCCCTCTCCTGGTTTATCACCCAAAAGGGTAAAAGTGCAAAAAACCCTAACAGCACCTTATGACTGTGATGAGGTACTTGGCATTGGCAGACAAAGTTGGGAAACTCACTTGAGCGACAAATTTGGTATCATCTCCCCTCCGTTTCAGCTTGACCTGCCAAAATAAACAAGGTTTTAGACGATGAATGAAAGAGGCAAAAGTTCCGCAAAACCATTTATAAAACAACCAAAACGTTTTTTATAAAGCGATTATTCTCGTGGAGTCGTGCAAATTTCTCAATTTGATACAATCACTCTCAGTACCTCTCATGGGTCTAATTTCATGTCCTAATTTTGAAATACAGTAGTGTTTTCCAAATTCCAGTTACGAAAGAAACCAGGGCACCACTTAAAAAAAAAAAAAAAAAAAAAAAAAAAAAAAAAAAAAAAAAAAAAAAAAAAAAAAAAAAAAAAAAGAGAGAGAAGAAGAAGAAGAAGAAGAAGACCACTTGGCAGCAAGCAATTGAAAAGCCGATAAGCATGAAAAGTTGAAAACCCAAGCTTATGGAGGACAATCGGCAGATTCGGCACACTGGAGAAAATTTGCAAACTGCACACCTAATGTAACGCATACACAATCCAAGTACATACGCACACACGGATGCACGGATACACAAGAATCCACACGCATGCGACCAATCATAGTTAGGAATACACGCCAATAACAACAGCATTATTAGGGCCTAGTTGCACTCCTCTCCATCCACCAACATTTGAAAAGCATGTGGACAAATTTGAGTCCAGATGCATTCAAAATGTTGGCGGATGGCGAGTAGTGCAACTAGGGCCTTACTGGAGAAAGTCAAACATGTCAGCAGTATGAAAGCTTTGCCCAGAGGACAAAGGGCCGCGCCACACGACTCCCGAAAGTGGGCTGTTTTCGGCAGTGCAGTGTCGCCACAGCAGCTCCCGAATTTCATCTGTCGGATTGAATTCGGGAGCTGTCAGAATGTGGCTCCCGAAAGCGCTCCCAAAATCACCTTGCCCTCCCGCCTGCAAAGCCGCGTTTTCGAGAGAGCTCCTTCGTACGTCCAAGTTTCATCCGAGATTCGGGAGTGGAGCTTAACGGGACAAAAGACGTCTGTCAATCTGAGTCACACTGAACGTGTCCGGATACGGCAACTATCATTTTTCGAGAGTGCAGTGCGGCGAAAGGCACTCGAACAGGATTTCATGTTTGAGAGCACTCCCGAAAATTGTCTTGAACTCAGGGGTGGTGTGGCGATGCCCAGAGTCCAACAGACCAATATCTTTAAGCGCCAGCCAAAAAAGAAAAAGACTGCGTTGTTGGCGGTTCCAAAAAGCTTGGCATGCAGTGCAGCACCTCCAGGCCCGGGTGTACTGGTGGTTTAAACCGACACTACCTTTCACACTGTTGGGAAAAGTTGGAATATAATCTATACCACATTCTTCCGGGACTGGGCCGCCATTGATTTTTTTCTTCTTATTCTTCTTTCTAAAACGAACCTATATTCTTCTCTCATTTTTTTTACCTCTCGATTAGTTATAAAAGCTTTTTGACATGAGGTTCACGCTCATGCTAGCTACTTATACCTCACACTATCCAGGCTCCATATCCTAAGCAGCAGGACCGGCTATCTACTCTACTCCAAGCAGGGAGTAGTACCTGGGATACAACCCTCCGTGAGGGATGGCAGGGGCAAGGGAGGGAATCCCAGGGTCCTACCAAGACCCGCCGGGCGGGGGGGGGCAAGCCAACTTATCTCAGCTGGTGAACACCAAGCCCACAGCAGGCGGCCATGGGGAATTGAACTCACGACCTCCTGAATACCACTTGTATGCTCAACCAACTGAGCTAAGCGTGCTGCCCGGGCCCCCGTTGATATATTTCATCGGCGGCCTGCTTTTCGTTTCCCGCCTCCGAAACTCGAAGGTACCAGCCCACGGCTGATGTAGGGAAAAGGCAGTGGTGGATTAAGGAACCGAATAGCAATAGGCACACTACCAAGTGCTCCCCATAGCACAGATGCAAGAACTACTTGCCGGTAATATCAGTCATATACTACACATAGTCAGGCTTTGCTGCGGCCAGATAAGCAAGGGATGTTATGTGGGCATCTGTATGCTGGTTCCTGGCTACTATGACGGCTACCATGTCGTCCAACTAGGGGCTAGCGAAGCAAACACAGTATGGATCTCTCCCAGTCAACATCAGAACACCTCATCGTTTACCAAGTAGGACATTGTCGACATTTTTCATCTTTCTGCGACTTCCCCAATAAAAAAAAATCCTTCTGCTTCCTTTGTTCCTCTTCCTTCATCCTTCCCTCTTTCTTGAGGTATCCAAGACTTATCCCAAGAAGACTAGGTAGTAGGTACACACACACACACACACACACACACACACACACACACACACACACACACACACACACACACACAGGCTGGCATTGTCGGTACTTTTCATCTTCGCGGGACTTTTCCCATTAAAAAAAAAATTCCTTCTGCTTCCCTTGTTCCTCTTCCTTCACCCTTCCCTCTTTCTTGGGGTATCCAAGACTTATTCCAAGAAGACCAGGTAGTAGGTACACACACACACACACACACACACACACACACACACACACACACACACACACACACACACACACACACACAGGGCTG